CCGAAAATTTGGAGAAGATCGCTTTGGGGATGGGGACCGCGACTGCCGCCGCAGTGGCATGCGCTGTTGAGAGAGGTAATCTTCAATAGCTCTCGGTCTTTCGCCAAATCTCGGCCGTGGTGCGTCGATGGCAGAACCCTGTAGTCCGAGGCGACGATAGGGACATTTCCGGTACACATGTCCAGCTTCACCACAGTGGTAACACAGTGGCCGTCTGTCCGGTGTGCGCCATACGTCGGATTTTCTGGGAAGCGGCTGTCGATTTTCTAAGTGCTGAATTGGCTGCAGCGAAGGAAGTGCATCCTGATGCATAGAATTAGCGAAGCGCGGTGAATCAGGAATATGTCGGCTTACAGCTTCTGCGTATGATGCACGATGTGGCTCCACCGGGACAGGCGGGACATAGCTGGAAGGCGGCACTTGGAGAGCCTGTCGTACTTCGTTTCTGACAAGGCTGCAAATAGACCCTGCAGTAGGTTGGGACTGGCACTGAATCTTTTGTAGTTCGTCGCGCACCACCGATTGAATGAGATCGCAAAGAGCCTCGATGTTGATGTTGTCTGCCGCACCTCCGATCTGACCTATTGACGAAGCGGCACTCACTTGCCGGTCGTACACAGTAGAGCGCTGCTGCAGCACTTGCTCCATGGTTGTGGCTTCGGTCAAAAATTCCGCCACGGTCTTTGGGGACAGCGAACGAGGCCAGCGAAAAGCTGCTCCTTCACTCCTCGCATTAAATGACGGACCTTCTTTTCTTCTGCCATATCGGGGTCATCTCGACGAAAGAAGCTCGTCATGTCCTCAACGTACATCATGACGCTTTCATTCGGCATTCGGAGGCGCGACTGAATCGCTCGCTCGGCTCGGTCGCAACGATCGAAATTGGCCCAATTTGCCCACAGCTAGGTATCGACGAAAGACGCTCCACGAGGGAAAAGGCTCACGGTTTTCGTACCAAGTACGAGCGCCGCCCTCCAAGCTGAAATACACGTTCCTCATTTTTGTCGAAGTCGGTCCAACTATTGTAATTCAAAACCCGTTCGAACTGGGCCAGCCAGTCTTCGACATCCTACAAGACGGAACCGTGGAACACCTTCGGCACACGTGGCTTCCACAGCGTATGATGTGTGGCTGCAGCGCTTTCCTGTGTGTTGGAGGCTGCAGCGCCTTCCGTAGCGTTCAGGGGTGTAACAGACGTAATCTCGGGAAGAGGTACACGCTCAGGAGGTAGTCCTCGGAGTCTTCGGCTTGAGCGGTGGACACGTGTTGTCACTGCAGATACAGGGCTACCTGGAGGCGTTTGGAACGTCGGCTGGGGGTTACCCAGCACCTCCACGAATTTTCACGTGCTACAAAAGGTCTTCAACTAGGAAAAACTGAGCCGGCGGGGAGACGCACCGAAAACTGGCAAGATGGCTGCTTCAATAATAAGCAACTAGCCAGAGCACGCGCTGCTCTAGAGCATCGTCTTCCATACTCGCGGGCAGCCACGGCTTGCGCTCGCCGTAACTAGTGGCCAAGTGGCAATATAGAGCTTTCTGGGAGGAAAACGACATGAAAAAGTACTGATTGTCATTTAGGACATGACACCCTCCGTTCGCGCTGCATCGAGGTTTTTCCGTGTCTCAAGAGACGCATAAAATTGGCGGAATATCCAAGTGAAGTCGTTCTCAAACACGTCTTGAGATTGAGTTTTAGGGACGTTTCTTCAATACCCTAGTTAAAAAAGAAGTGCTGGAAAATCGGAATCTAGCACAGTTTTAAATTCATTGCCTGACAAAGCCCGGTGGACAAAGTTACAAGCCATAAATTGCCTGAGTATTTCTGCATTAAAACGGCATAAAAAGATGAAGAAGATACGTCAAAAGAGATCTAGCCTCCAATTGTTGTATAATTCATTAAGGTGAAATCGTTCAAAAAAAGACGACGTCAGCACGAAGAAAGACTTGCGGTGTTTGATCTGGAAAGAGTTTGGAAGCAACACAACACCGAAATCTGTCTATATTCAATGCATGGAGTCCATTAAGACTGCGTACTGGTCCACTGAGTGAATTTCAAGTCCTTCTACTGCAAAAACTGAAGGAATGAATTTTTTTTTCGCACTGTCTAGCTTTTGCCCCCCACAGCGTCTCATTTTGCCCTGCAAGTTGGGGCAGAATAGGACATCTGGAGCACAAATACATACAAAACTTATCATTACGTACAAAGAACTTCATTGGGACATATGGAGCATTTTAGTTTATTTTTAAAACAATGTTCGGCAACATGATATGATTTATGTAGCACATACCTTGTACGCAAAGGAAAGTATCTGAATTGACGTTTGATTGCAAGGGATGAAATAAAACATTCACTATTTAAAAATGTTTGCCGCATTTTACCCCACTAACCTAAATGTGAAGAAAGAAAAGTGTACAAAAGATAACTTGCCTTGGTGAGAGACCGACCCTCCGAGCTTCGAATAACGCATTCGATGCAAGCTACCATGGCGGCTATCCCCCCGTCCACATTATAGAGTACATATATATGCATTAAACGTGGGAGCATTGGTCAGCGCCACCAGTAGCCATTGCGGCGAGCGTGGAGCATTCTTTATCTGCCTGTTTGGTGTCACATAGCACGTGAATTTATTATCAGCTGGCATCTGACCAATAAACCCTCGTATACTACCTGAGGGCACCAAGTCTGTCAGAACGAGACGCTTGTTATGAACGAAGGAAGTAAGTGCATATTTAAGGGCGGATTCTCTTTGTTATTCGAAGGTCGCTGGTTAGGTCCCTGACCACGGCAAGTTATATTTTCGTTCACTTTTCTTTCTTCGCATTTACATTATAATTACTTCTGATAACATCCTCTATACTTTCTTTGGCATGATTGTAAGTAATATCTCATTATTATTGATAACAAATAAAAACGAGCCCTTAAATGTACACTTCTTTTCTTTTATACTGATGCGTGTGATAGAGAAGCATACTGTGAATTTATATTCGTCGTGGCGTAACGTGCGAGGATGTATCCTCAAATTACGGAGACTTCGAGCACGTTATTCGCATAAAAATAACAAATAAATGTGCGCTACTTCTTGTAGATGCGGGATATAGAGGGACCAGTTACAATAATTCTTTATTCTTTAATTCAACCGAAAAAGCTTCATTTCCTGTTGTAAAACTAGGTGTAGAGCAATACACCTTACGATCATACAGGTTCCCAGTGTAGCACACATCCTGGCTTCTCCGAGAAAACTAAAGTTCTTATCTTCATACTTCGTTTAATATGCGTGCTTATGGCGGCGCTCATTGTCTCTTAGTCCATGATGGGTGTTCTCGGACTCCTGGATAACATTTAAGAGCTCGCTGTATGTTGACATCACGTCATAGCAAGAACAGGGAACAAATAGGCTCTTGAGATTTCCCTCATTCTCTTGTATCATGTATCATTTGTGCACACTCGCGTTCTGCGTGACCTGCAACTTGGTGGTCGAGGCTTAAAGGCCAACTGCGGTGATTTTTTCTAGTTGAATGGATCGAAATAAAATTCTCTGGGTTCGTTACTTTGCACAATTCTCTCATTTTTTCCAAATTACAGGCTTGAGAGATGCGCTGATTGTTTGCAAATGAGCTTCAAATATTCGCTTCGAACAGCTCAACCTCGCTAGCCAGAATTGTTGGCAACACTGTCTGTGTGATGTCGTGCTTGGCGTGTCAACGGAAGTGATGCAGCCGATGGCACTGCTACTTTGGCCGCTACAGCGTTTACTGTGCTGTCCACGAGGCGACGGCGGCGGTGTTTATCGCGGGAAAGCTCCCTTCCTTCCTTCCTCTAGTGTGTTCGGCCAGTGCTTCGCTGGTCTGGCTTTCACGTTTTTCATACTTCGCGTCGGCGGAACTAGCATACGACTTCCCGTTCTTACCAAAGTGTACGTCACACGTAGACAGTACACTCGGTTGGCTTTTGGTTATGACATTGTGCATTTTTCGCTTATTAAAAACTATTGCCAATTTCCTGAGCAATCCAGCTTTTGAGTTCGTGACTAGGGTGTCTCAGGAACATAAAAACATCGTTTCCTTGACATATTCGTAAAAACGGCGAAGTTTGCCTTTAAGGGTCCCGAACCCTACAAAATAAAATCAGCAAACGTTAAATGGGTCTAAAAATATACCTTTAATAGAAACAGAGTTTATTTCGCTAACACTTTTATGTCAGCAGAACCATGCAGTGTTGAAGCCGCTTTCACCAAGGGCAACACGCGGCAAAGCATGTACGGCATGACCACGCATCCTGGTTTCACCTGGCATGAATGCTATATTCTCGGGCGACTACCTGTGTCTATTCTATCGCAAACACTTTTTCGATAACAATAACACCCAAATCAATGTACGAATAATTAACAATAATATCCAGAGCAATGTACAATTCATTAAGTGCTCGTGGACAACTAAACAAGCGCACTACTTACCTGTCCGCCCCGTTTCTGTTCCACCAGCTATCAAAACTTCAGTACATAATGATGTTGTGTAGATACAGATGTTTAATGCACTAGTCACAAGAAAATGAGGTTGCGGCCGTTGTGATCGCTTGTCGGATGATTAGTATGAATGCTAAGGACAGGAGGGGGGGGGGGGGGCTTTGAATGGCCGATTGGGTGCGAAATACAAGAACACCGCGCAGTTATATCTAGATGCCTGCCAGGGAAAACCAAATGCGCGAGCCTGAACACGAGGGGGGGGGGGGGCAGATCAGCGCTTCTCACATTGGTATTATGGTTTTTCAATGTAAAACCTGGGAACTTACAATCAAAATGAAGCCACTTCTAGAGTCATTGTCCGAGAATATGGAAGCTGGCGTGCTTCGTCAACTAGGTTTCACTAAAACCGCTGCCGTGTTCTCCCAACCCTGACCACGCTGGATCTATCGCTGCTTTCTATTAGGTGTGGCCGTGTCTCAGCAAGCCTATAAGCACGCTTTGTCTTGGCACGCTGTTCACTGGGAAGGACACTCACAGTGACGAGGCTCTGGATGGGGTGCCGCAGTGTGTCCTTCAGCTTGAACGGCGGCTGCTTCAGAGGATTGCTGCTGTGTGTGTGCACTGCGAAGCAGCGGAACACGAGTACCATGAACCATGACGAGCGATGCACGCGGTGAACGGGTGGTGCTGCGTTCAGGTTTCAGTTTCAGCTTCAGTTTTATTGGGCATACATACAATACATAATACTTGTATACAAGCGAGATTCCCTGAGTATAAATGACGCAAACGGGACCCTCAGTTAAAGGAGCACTGACATGAAATTTCAATGGCGAGACAATGAGCGAGCTAGGTGTATCTGAAGACATCCACATCTACTACCATATCATGGGCAAATATAGCCTGGATAACATATTTAGAATCAATTTCATAGTGCATGCCTCGTGACTGAGCGAGATGTGGAGTCTTTCGCTACGCCGACATCAGCTCTGGGACAATGTAAAAAAACCTACTTCACGCCTTTGTATTGGCTGGTTGTTCTTTAGTGGCTTTCCTCCTCCGTGACTGCGGCTTCGCGTGCGCTGGCTATGCTTGCTGTCAGTGCATGTGGCGCCCGCTCGCGCATACTCTCGCACGCAGCGCCGACGTGGCAGTTTTGCGTGGTCACGAGGTCAACTATATTTACTTTGCCCCCGGAACTGCTCCTGCCTAGATCGGTGTTCTTTGAAACCGAAACTGAGACTGGTCGCTCCAAATTGGTCTCTAAGTAAATAATTGTTGCTTACTCACGCATACGAAGTTTACAGCCGTTTTAGGTCGTTCATAAGCAGCTACCGATTGCAACAAAAAAAGGTGCTAAACTTCTGTGTCGTGCGAGTTTACTGTTGCACTGTTTCTTGATTTAATACGGATACAACACTGCAACGTTATCAGTCTAAGATGGCAGCGCTTGAGCGTGTCGCCCATGACAACGCGTGGCGTGTGTGTGTGTGCGTGTGTATGTGTATGTGTGTGCGTGCGTGCGTGCGTGCGTGCGTGTGTGTGTGCGTGTGCGTGTGCGTGTGTGTGTGTGTGTGTGTGTGTGTGTGTGTGTGTGTGTGTGTGTGTGTGTGTGTGTGTGTGTGTGTGTGTGTGTGTGTGTGTGTGATTGATGGCGTACGACAGAACACTGACAGGAGGCTCGGACACGTAATGCGCACGTGATCTTGCGTGCACACCGTCCGTCTGTCTGTCTGTCTGTCTGTCTGTCTGTCTGTCTGTCTGTCTGTCTGTCTGTCTGTCTGTCTGTCTGTCGGTGGATATGCTGTTGTGTTGGGTACGCTGGAGGGATGGACTGCCTTGACCATATAGGGAGGTTCGCCCCTAAAATAAGCATTTGCCTGAAATCATGTCTGTTGTGATGATAAACCATACTGTACCATAAATATTTCTCAAATCACTTGTTCAGCACTACACTGAGAACACAACTGACTTCGTGGGTAAAATCTACTAGAAGAAAACGAAAAGCCGAAAACTTATCTTACGTTACCGAGACCACCCTATAGGTAGCGACAGTTTCACGGAACAATATGTTACCTAACGCAGCCATTTCAAATAACGTATTTCTTACATACCATATATAGGGCTTTTCTGGTATGATTTCGCGTCAGGATTCAATAGCGATATCAAAACTGATCAGAAGTTCGACGCCGGCTAAGAAACAATTTTTCTTTCTGGCTGCACAGCTATCTTTCAATGCATGGTGACACCGTAGGGTTCCTCATGCAAGTAAAACGCTTGAGAACCGTTCCGTCTCTGAAGCATACCTGAACAGAGAGAAAGAAATAGAGAGGAAAGGCAGGGAGGTTAACCAAGCTTGACTCGGTTGGCTACCTTACACTTGGGGCGGGCTTAAGGGAATAATAAAAAATAAAGAGATAGAAAAAGTTTTACTTTATAGGCGTGCAAATATTGTTACGGTGCATCATCGACAGGAGCAAGCTGTGGCACTTAGCGAAGATGAAGAAGACGCCTGTGCATTAGGCGCTTGCGCGAGAGGCAACTCAGACATCTTGTTCGGCTGCCGATTCTCGGTGGACGCTGTCCTGTAAGCCAAGACCTCGCCCCGTCACATTTGGTGGAAGTGCTGGGCAACCGCCTCGCAACGGAACTTCGCAGCGGCCGACGTTTGAAGGGTCATTCCACAACGATGACGGAGAGGACGGCGTCTGCATCTGCTCCTGGTAATCCTGCGGCCGGAGATGATGTGGTAACTACATATCCTTCTGCGACCACAACCTTCGTGCTTGAACCCCCGCGGGATCCTGGCACGTTCAGCGGTTCCGGCGGTCCAGATGAAGTTGACGTTGAAGATTGGCTGGCAGAGTACGAACGTGTGAGTACTCGATACCGATGGGGCCCGACTCTTATGCTGGCAAACCTGTTATTCTATCTTAGGGGAACCGCCAAATCGTGGTATGAGAACCATGAAATAGAACTTGGGAGTTGGGCAGTGTGCAGGGAGAAAATGCTGGACCTGTTCGGAAAGCCGATTGGAAGAAAAATGGCCGCGAACAAAATGCTCGCGTCTCGGGCGCAGACCTCGACCGAGTCTTACGTCTCCTATATAGAAGATGTGTGGTCGTTGTGTCGCAAAGCCAATGCCGAGATGCCGGAGGCTGACAAGGTCGGGCATATTCTTAAGGGGATTGCGGATGACGCATTCAACCTCCTCATCTGCAAAAATTTTTCTACAGTGGACGCCATTATAAAAGAATGTCGGCGCTTTGAGCAAGCGAAGAGCCGGCGGATTAACAGCGTGTTTACCCGCCTTCCGAATATGGCTGCAACATCATCTTGCGAAGACCGTGCAAGAACACAGCCACCACCTCTAGATTCATCGGATCAGGTGACCCGAATTGTACAGCGCGAACTTGAAGCCATTGCCTCTGCTCCGGCTCACACCGCTGCAAGTGACACCACCCCACTCACTGCTAACATGGTTCAAGCCATCGTCCGCCAAGAACTCGCCAGCATAGGTATTCCCTCGGTGTGCGCTTTGCCCAGCCCGCAGCGAGCTTCATGGCGTCCACCCTCGTCCTATCACGAGCAGCAGTTTACGGCCCGATATCACGACCCTACTGCGTGGAGAACCGTCGACAATCGACCAATTTGTTTTCATTGCCACCGTATCAGTTGATGTCGTCCGTTACTGCAATTACCGCTGGTCCACGCCACCTCGGACTTCATCTCAACCTCACTACCGACAGGACAGCACCCGCTTCGCGTCTGCCGCGCAGCCTTCTCCGCAAAAAAACTACAGAAGGTTCAACAGCCGATCTCCGTCACCGCATGGTCATCAGTCGCGTTCGCCTCCAGGACGTCGCCAGTCGTCTCGCTCACCGCAGACTCGCAGGCCGTCGTCCCCATTCAACCCCGCTCCTGCCTACCCGGAAAACTAAACGGTGCAGCGCCCGGAGGTGACGCTGCATTTTCGCCTCCCTCCACAAATCCTCTCTTGACACTTCCGACGAGACAAAATTTGTTAGACGTTGCCGTTGACGGTGTGGCTATTTCTGCCCTTATAGATACTGGAGTGCACATTTCTGTAATGAGCGCGAACCTTTGCCGACGCCTACATAAAATGCTCACGCCTGCCGCTTCCCACAAACTTCGTGTCGCTGATGGGAGGACCCCTGATGTTCAAGGGATATGCACAACCCGTGTGTCCATTGCCGGTCATCCTACATTAGTTCAGTTTGCCGTCATTGAAATGTGTCCTCATGACCTAATACTTGGTTTGGACTTCCTGTCACGGCATTCTGCGCTCATTGATTGTGCCACTGGTGCTCTTCAGCTTGAACTGCCGCAGTTTGCCGATTTTCCAGCAGACTATTCTCCCCGTTTATGCTCTCGTCACCACGTTCGCTTGCCTCCGCAAGCTGCTACATATGTCACTTTGTCTTGCTCACGTCATGTGCCCGACGGTGACTACCTCGTCACTCCTATAGTCGACGTACTGATGGCCCGAGACGTCGCCCTTGCTCACACTGTTGTCGCCGTCGCTAATAATACAGTGGTCATACCACTACTCAACGTGAGTCTCTTGACTCAAGTTATTCCGCAAGACATGTCTTTGGCTACCCTATCTCCACTTGACAGCTGCAACGTTACTGGTTTGGACACCGATACTACATCCCCCTGTCTTGGCCGCAATCACACTCTGCCTGCAGATGACATTAACAAGATGATTGCTCCCGACCTCACTGCAGTGCAAGCTGCCAGCCTCCGTAGGCTGCTAACATCATATAGGGACGTTTTCAACTTTGACCACCGCCCTCTCAGCCAAACAACTGCAGTGACTCACCGGATCAACACTGGTGATGCCAGTCCTATACGGCGGCGTCCATATTGCGTATCTCACAAGGAACGCCAAGTAATTCAAAATGAAGTGGATAAAATGATTACTAAAGACGTAATAGAACCCTCATCCAGCCCCTGGGCCTCCCCAGTCGTGCTCGTTGAGAATAAAGATGGCAGCTGGCGCTTTTGCGTGGACTATCGCCATTTAAACAAAGTGACCCACAAAGATGTCTACCCTTTGCCTCGGATTGATGATCGGTCCGGCTATTGGCAAATTTCCGTCGACCCCATGGATCGTGAAAGAACCGCTTTCGTTACGCCCGATGGCCTCTACCAGTTCAAAGTCATGCCGTTTGAACTGTGTAATGCGCCGGCAACTTTCGAGCGCATGATGGACTCCCTTCTCCGAGGATATAAGTGGTCCATCTGCTTATGTTACTTAGACGATGTCATCGTCTTTTCACCTACCTTTGACAGCCATATAACACTTCTGTCAGCCGTTCTGGATGTTTTTCGAAGAGCTGCTCTCCAGCTCAATTCTGCAAAATGCCATTTCGGACGTCCCCAAATCACCATACTCGGCCACCTTGTCAGTGCCGATGGTGTTCAACCAGATTCCGAAAAGGTACAAGCAGTACAACAATTTACTGAACCACGCTCAACCAAGGACGTCCGAAGTTTTGTAGGGCTATGTTCCTATTTTCGTCGATTTGTCCGCAACTTCGCCGACATCGCTCGACCGCTTACTGATCTGTTAAAGAAGGACGTTCCCTTCGCAAGGGGTATTGAGCAAGCGGACGCCTTTTCGGCTCTTATCCATCTGCTGACTACGCCACCAATAGTGGCCCATTTCGACCCAGCATCACCTACAGAGCTTCGGACCGATGCCAGTGGCCATGGAATTGGAGTGGTCCTTGGCCAACGACAGCACGGGAAGGACCGCGTGATTGCTTACGCCAGTCGTCTTCTTTCACCTGCCGAACGGAAGTTCTCCATCACTGAGCGTGAATGCCTAGCTATAGTGTGGGTCGTGGCGAAATTCAGGCCTTACCTGTATGGCCGAACTTTTTCCGTTGTTACGGACCATCACGCTCTTTGCTGGCTGTCATCGCTAAAGGACCCATCTGGACGTCTTGGTCGCTGGGCGCTCCGTCTGCAAGAATACTCGTTCGTGGTCCACTACAAGTCGGGACGCCTCCACACAGACGCAGACTGTTTGTCACGTTATCCGGTGAAACGCTCGACTTGACAGAGCTTGATTCAGACCCCTGCGTTCTCTCCATCCACGCTATGGGTGATATCTCCACCGAACAACTACGTGACCCGTCGTTACTCTCCATCATCGAGCGTCTGACCTCTGCTCCAACAGACCCTTCCGTTCGCCTGTTCGAACTGCACGACAACATTCTGTACCGTCGCAGCTTCAACGCTGATGGCCCGGAATTACTACTCGTGCTTCCCCATCACCTGCGTACCAGCGTTCTCGAACAACTACATGACGTACCTACAACCGGTCACCTAGGCATCTCTCGTACCTACGATCGTGTGCGACGTCGCTTTTTCCGGCCCGGACTGTACTGTACCGTTCTGTGCTTTGCTACGTCACTGCTTGCGACCGCTGCCAACGCCGCAAGCGCCCCTCTGTGCTACCGTCTGGCCTCCTAGAGCCCATTGACGTACCGACGGAACCATTCTTCCGTGTTGGCCTTGACTTGTTGGGCCCGTTTCCTACGTCCACCTCTGGAAATAAATGGGTTGCAGTCGCCACAGACTACACCACACGCTTTGCCATCACTAAAGCACTGCCGACAAGCTGTTCCACTGACGTCGCTGACTTTCTCTTGTATGAAGTCATTCTTCATCACGGCGCTCCACGGCAGCTGCTTACTGATCGAGGAAGGTACTTTCTTTCACGTGTTGTGGATGACATTCTCCGCGCCTGCTCCACTGAGCACAAGCTTACCACCGCTTATCATCCACAGACAAATGGATTGACCGAGCGTCTGAACCGAACGCTGACGCAGATGCTGTCAATGTACGTTTCGCCAGATCACCGCGACTGGGACAAAGCACTCCCCTTTGTCCCGTTCGCGTACAGTTCTTCACGGCACGACACAGCTAGTTATTCGCCGTTTTATTTGCTATTTGGCCGACATCCAGCATTACCATTTGACACGCTCCTTCCTTCGGCTGCCCTTTTGTCTACTGAGTACGCCAGCGATGTCGTTTCTCGAGCCCATTCAGCCCGTCAGCTTGCCCGTGATCGGCTGCACTTGTCGCAAGCGCACCAAAAAGACCGCTATGACAGTCGCCACCAAAGTGTGCACTTCTCGCCGGGGTCTCTGGTACTTCTCTGGACACCAAACCGCCAAGTCGGCTTATCAGAGAAGCTTCTATCACACTACCATGGCCCCTACAAATTGTTACGACAACTTAGTGACGTGAGCTACGAGATCGCACCCCTAAACAATGCCTTTTCGACCACCTCACTCCAGACAGACGTTGTACACGTAACATCACTCCGCAGGGGAGTGATGTTACGGTGCATCATCGACAGGAGCAAGCGTGGCACTTAGCGAAGATGAAGAAGACGCCTGTGCGTTAGGCGCTTGCGCGAGAGGCAACTCAGACATCTTGCTTCGGCTGCCGATTCTCGGTGGACGCTGTCCTGTAAGCCAAGACCTCGCCCCGTCCCAATATTGAGAGTATCTCTTAGGAAACTCGCAAAGACCTCATTCCCTGAGAGGCCACGGGCTGCTGGCGAAACGTCTGTAGGCCACGGGTTTGAGACCCCCGACATAAAAAATACCTCGATATTGTAGAGACTGACGAGGAACTCACCCGCAATAACCAACTCCTCGCCCCCCCCCTTTTTTTTCTTTTTAATGTGACAAGCGCTCTTTGAGGACGCCACGTTCATTCGGGTTTTGATACTCGCACAAGTTTCACATGTACATGAGATATTTTTGAGTAGTTGTATCGCATAACACAATACAGTCAGCAGCCACTTACAGCGACGAACTCGTACAGGGTGTCGACTGACTGCCCTCCCAGGAAGAAGCCCTGCAGCCGCGTCAGGAAACCGCGCGGTTCGACATGGCGGCACTTGTGAAAGATGTCGCAGTATCCGCGCATGTCGTTGCACGGGGATCCCGGTTGCAGTTTGGCACCGCAGTGGCTGGCCATGATCGGGAACGCGCACGCCACTTCGCACTCTTTAGAACCTGTCAGGTGGCAAATTTCGAAACAAAACACAGGCCCAGAAAGAGAGGTGGTTTTCACGATACACGGACAACACGAAATGCTGGAATGTATCAATAATGACAGGTTGTTGTGACAGTGAAGGTGCAAAACGAAAGCAGGTAACAACAAAAAAATCTTTATTGCGCCAACGTGCTCTCAGGAAAAGAAAAGACTCAAAGTACGAGCGACATTTGCTGCGCAATGATAACGGCGAGTATGTATACGTCCGTCGTCGACCAATCTGACCGGCAGATATGGGGCGCCATGTCATTTATACTTCAGCAGGAGTCGATGATTTCAGCATTGTTGTTGGTGACTTCACGTTCAATTCTGAAGTTCACTACTCGCGTTGTGTGCGCGTTTTAATCAGACGCGTGCAAAATAATCGCATATATAGGATCCCACCCGTGTGCTCAGACTTGGGTGCACGTTAAAGAACCCCAGGTGGTCTAAATTTCCGTAGTCCTCCACTACGGCGTCTCTCATAATCATGTAGTGGTTTTGGGACGTTAAACCCCACATATCAATCAAATATAGGATCCCAGACATTTGGCGCGTCCGGCGTGGAACAGGGGATACACGCATTGTAACAGGTCAATTGCCGACAAAAATGTAGAGTACAAAAACAAATTTGGACAGCTTCGCATTAGTAGGTCCGAGCCTAAAGAAAGCGTGGAGCTGAGTGGCCTTTTTTTTTCTTGATATTCTCTTCCTTCCTTCGTCTATTTTTTTGATTTCCTCTGTATTTTTTTTTCAAACATTTTTTGTTGGTGCCGATCAGTTTGTCTCAGTATATGATTTTTTTTCGCTCACCATCTCTATAGTATACAACTCTCTTTCCTTTCTCTGTCTCTCTTTCTCTGTTTCCTTATCTTCGTTTTATGCTAAGTACACCCTCTCTCTCTTCTTTTTCCTCTTCCCCAGCCTCATAGCTATCCTCCTCACCTCGATTTCTATTCCCACTTCCTGCTATACAGCACTACAATAGCTTGCGATGCTCAGTATTGCTGTACATTACAACGATATTGTTTCTTAGCTAAAGCAAGTCACGATATAGGCGAGTGGTTATGATGCTTGCCTTCGGATCGTGAATATGCGGACCCGATTTCCGCGTCAAGGAAACTTATTTGCTAAATAGTTTATCTTCCTTTATATCACTTTCCATGTCTGCCTTCATCTCTCGCCCATGCGAGTTATTGCATCCCACGCCGGTGAAACAGGTGCAGTGGGAGAGCACGCGTGGGGCGCATAGTTCAGGGAGGGACGAAGGATGAAGGCGACGAGAGCATGCGCCGGCACTGTTGTTGCGTTGCACTTGCTATAAAAATACCAGTGATGTTAATAGAGAGTTTGAGAATTGGAGGCCCAAGACGCTGGGTCCCGAAGCTTCGTTGTGCGGTTGTTGCGTTCGCAGGGTCATAAGAGTGAGAACTACGCACGGGGCGCCACCCGTGGCCAAATTCGAAATTATGCGAGACGCGGGCCATACGACAGCACGGCTCGCGCTGCGTTTGCTTCGTCTCGCGGGCAATCCAAAACGCCTCAGCTCCTCAACCTTCAGCATTGTGGAGGCTACAGGGCCCCTAACGCAATAAAAACGGCGACTAGCCTCTCCACATGTATTCATTCGCGCCATGTCGTCTGCTCACCGTCTTCACGGCATCTTCTCTTTAAATTGTCTAAACGCACTCACTGTAGATGAGGCTGGTTTAATAACTTAAAAATACAGTAAAACTGTGAAAAACACAGTCACACCAGAAACTTGAAGAGTGGATTTGTTGTTCTGCATGCTGAAACTTGGTAGGCGCTTATGCCGACGGATAACTTCACTTTGTGACGTCTCTCTCTGATGCTCATCATGGCTCTCGTATAACTGCTTCTCCATCAACACGTTCAATCGCGTCTCCCGCTGCCATACCTCTTTTCTCTTTCTTTTTTTACATGCGGAACATCTTATACTAGGGGCTAGTCATGCGCCGTCGCCGTTCGCAGCCTCCCCTCCTCCTCCGCCAGCCATCTGTGAATCCCTTCCTCCTCTCAACAGAGCGCGCAGCTGCGCTCGCTTCTCCCCTCCGCGCGCTGCGCGGCCTTTAGCTTTACGTGCGCCAGCGGTATGCTAACGCGCGCATGCGCAGGCCGGGGCCAGCGCTCGCTATAAATAACCGAGTGTCGGGGCGCACCGCCCTTCGTCGGTTGGTTTGTGCGGTCGCTCAACCAACCGACGATGTACCTCGTGCCCAACCTATCGCGTGCCGCCGTGGAGAAGTACGTCGACGAAGCCGTGGAAGAATACCTGAAACAACGACCGCAACGACCACCCTTCGGGATAGTTAGCGACTTCAACGTCGACGTCATCAAGGACAATTGGGTGGTCGACTACATGGACTCGCTGAAACGAGCACCGCACGACCGCAAACATCATCCGCCCACGGTTCGCGGGACGTGCATCGACCACGTCTTTGCAAATTTCGACCTTCGACCGCTGCAACCAGACCCTCTCACCCTTCACTTTACGGAACATAAAGCCATCTTGCTCAAAATACCAAAAGCGTCTCATCAATAAACATCGTCTTTTGCAGCATATGTGCGTGCGTGTTCACTCGTGTTCACTCATAACATACACGCATGTCGCAAATTACAAACCACATTTATCGCAGTTCAACTTATATGCTCCGCATGCTAACCAGTGCTCCCACTTGGGAAACTGCGGTCATTTTTTTGTATCCATCGAAGGACGATCCGACGCGCACAAAACGCTGTGCCATGTTGCATGTCCGATGTTTGAAGATGCAGCGTTCTTGGTCTGGTGACGCAGCCCAAGCCATGCCTCAGCGCGCTAGTCTTAGCACGTCCGGCTAAGCAAGCAGCATATCTGGCTAATACCAACAGCACGTACCTGATGTTTTCCACAGAATGAGATGAAACAAATAAATGGCGGATTTTACCATTCATTTGTTGCTGTCAGCGCAGTGGGCGTGTAGCAAGAGCAAGTTCAGATCGAAGCGGGTGGTAGCTTTTGCATGGATGCTGGCATGTTGATTTGGAAACGCAGTTACCGGAGTAAGAGACAAAAATAAATTCACGCGTACGAACTAATTGGAACAACAAACGTATTGCATAATGATGTGGCGTATCATACACCAAACACCAATTTTAGTCAACCCGGTCAATTTTAAGGCACTTAGTATATCTAGGACTACGCTTTTCTGCACAAGTGTGTGGCTTTCTTACATCCCATAGCTTTGGTAGTGCTGAACCAAGAGGTTTTGTGCCTTTGGGTCAGCATGAACGCAAGGGCCCAAGATTGTCTTCAGTTCTGCGCATGTGTCCTGGTGCGTCGCAATCTTCTTGGGTCCGAAAGCTCCTTGGGGCCCCGATTTTCAAACTCCTTAGTGATAGGAGCGTGTGATAGTATGCGTAAACGTGCGCAAGGATTTCTATGTAGGGGCGGGGGGGATGTTTATCGCACTGCTCCCCCTCCCAATCATGTCAATATACGCTTCTGACTTTGCGCCTCCTCTCTCTATATGTCGATGTATGAAGCTGGTTTTGTGCCCCCCTCCCCCTCAGTCCCGTGCGCACGCCTATGGCAATATGCGTTCAGCTGCTCACCGGGTGCCTCACAGGTGAGGAGGCACTGCTCCGATATGCTCAGCCCCTCGGCCTTGCGGAAACACTCCAGCAGTCCGTACTTCTCACAGACGGAGCCCTGGCATTCACCCGACAGGCACACTTGGGTGTTCTTGTTGCACGCCGTCATGTCAGCCTTGGCCGGTGCATCGGGGCACTTGGCCCGGGTTCCAGTGAGAGAACACTAGTCAAGGAACACGTCACTTTTCTAGTAATTTGCTGCATAGTAAGGGGCAGTATTCACGCCGAGCGTTTTTCCTTTGTCACGCGGACGTTCCCAAGCAGTGACGTCGCATCAACTGCATTGTAAGTGTCTCCCCAAGTAACAACAACAGCAGAGATATATACTGCCATACCGACATGTATACAGACAACCACGGTACGGCGTCGACCAATCAAACGAAAAGTAAATCACCTGCTGTCCGAACAGCATGCGGAGCGTTCGCTTTGTTATGTTCACGTAATGCAGTTCTTGCTTACGAGGACTACGATCCGGTAGCGTAGCCATGATGTGGCACACCAGCCCATGCCCCCCTCCCCAAGAAATTTTTTCACCATGTCATACCTAGCGAAAAATCACCATTTCGAAAAGGTGTCCTCCCCCTCCCCCCTTCTAAAAAAATTCTTCTCACGCTGCTAATCCCTGCACACGTTCTCCTTGTTTCTCCTTCCTGGCTGTAGCAACACATATTCGGACATGATGTACAATCTGAACGTATTAGATTTGCACATTTCATCAAATAAAGTGCACAAATTTGGTTCGTAGCGCCGTGACGCCGTAATAGTCTGAATGGCCCCAAGTGCGCACCGTGGTTTTAGCAACGCTTCCCTTCTATTCGATTCTATCGTCCTTGATCCAGCACCTTATAGGTGCACATATTTGATGCACTCCCGACTGCATGTAGCAGCGTTAAAGGATATTCGCAATATGACCGCTCTGTGCACTCAGTCTCCTCGCTGCAGAGCTCTCCTTTCGGCACGAAGTCGCAAGATTCCGTGCAGCAGGCGCCTGCTGTGGGGCTGCGGAAAACATACAACACAATTAACAAACACTATTAGCGCAGCGCCAAGCGTAAGCAACGCTGTCTGCGATGTCTGTGGGAAGGTGAACCAAGTTCGCGAGCCGGAAAAGCTCTGGAGAAGCTAGGCAATCGCATAAGGTGTAGGATGTCTGCTTCTTGTAAATCGTTCGCAGCTTGACAGGGCTATCTGCGAAATCATTCGCAGCTTGACAGAACTATCTGCTTTCAATTATTTATTTCCTGTATGTTTACGCTTCCCGTTTTCTCTACTTTTCATTAACTACGGCGGCTAAACAGGAGAGCTGGTCAGAGTGAACACTCATAAAGGAAATAAACAAAGGTCAACCAATCATTACATTTCGTACTTTATGCAGTACTATGTCAGAATAATACTTCATCCTTACTTCAAGTGCTGTGACCAGTAGTAGTTACCGGGAAATATTCAAATGTGTGCAGCTTACTGCAGAAATGAGTGTCACGAGTGAAAGAATTATCTGATGTTTCTGTGCCTGTGTTGATATTTTTTTGCCATGATATATTCAGTGGTTTAATAATATGCGTATCTCGTCCTGCGCGTTGGCAGGAATCGAGGCATACGTACGTACACATGTGCAAGTACACAGCTTAGGCATGCGTATGGGGGGAGGAGGGGGAGTGTGACAGGGGGGCGCAAAGGCAACCTCCATACCTTGACATTAAAAGGGAGGGGGAGAGAGGGAGGCGCTGTGACGAACCTTAGCGCTCCCTGAAGGGGAACCCTGCTCACGCTTATGGTGCACGCACGGTGTAACTCACCTGCACTTGGCGGATGGTTTGAGGCGGCAGGCGAGCGACCTGTTGTCCGCAGTTCCTCGAGTAGCAGCACTTGTCCGTGCACTCGGCTTCAGTGGCGCCGCAGTCACACTGCTCATCACCCTCGACGATCTGGTTCCCGCACGCGGGACCACTGTGCCCTGCAAATGACCGCACCACATAGCGCCGCGCGTTATTCCTATTCACAGATGACTGGCCGTATTACTAAGGATAAGCAATAATTTCAAGGAAGGCAGGCCGTGCATTTTTTTTTTGTTTCAAGGTTCACTCAGGTTACACTTTGTGTGGCTGTCTCCTGTGGTGCGCAGTTCCTCTGGGGTTCCTGTGGTACGCAGTTTTAATGCCCTCACGTACAAAAAATAACACGTTTCGCAAGAGACGCAAAACGCTTATGTCGGTGGCCCTGTATCGCTACTTCCGCTATGCTGCTACTAGTGTTGGCGGCCGCGATGTAAAGGAGGGCAACATTGGGAACGGCACAATGGTTACGTAAGAAAGACCGCTTTCAGGCGGGTGATTCGAAGAGCGCTAACGTGATGTGGACTGCTAAAACGTGATTTTTCGTGAATTTAAATGCGAAGCATTTTTTAGCGAACTTCGGCGACATTGAGCGTATCTATCTATCTATCTAGCCGCCTACGACTTTTAGCTCTCCTGGCCTTTTCGATAATGGCATCAATAGCAAACTTGGTATGGCATAACATGACTGTATGAAGAGCATATTTGCACAGTCATAACATGAAAATCGTGACATGTATGTCATGAATGTCATGATTTACATTTCGTGGTCCTGCAGCTCTTGCGGTGGTTTCGTTCACATGGCATGTTGCAAAACTGGTATGCGAAGACATGATCGCATGCCGAACACAAGCGACTGACCCCAACATGATAATCATGAGATGCGTGTCATGTAACAACATGACTACATGCCAAGCTCATGATTCACTGGCGGCCGTTTCGCTAGCTTCACTTACACCAAATTTGGTATTACGGGACGTGAATGGATGACAAAAGTATGATACTGGTGCAAACTTGATAAACATGAGATGCGTATCATGCAACAACATGACTACATGCTACGCTCATGACGCGCTCACGGCGGTTTCGGTAGCTTCACATGTACTAAACTCGGAATCACGTGACGCGAACGGACGACATAAGTAAATGACACATCCAAACATGATAATCATGACATGCATGTCACGTAACAACATGACTACATGCAACACTCATGATGCACTCGCGGCCATTTCGCTAGCTTCACATATGACAAATTTTGTATTACGTGACGTCAAAGGATGTCGAAGGTATGTGAATGGTGCAAACATAATAATCATGAGATGCGTGTCATTTGAGAAGATGACTACATACCAAAGTCAAGGCGCCAATACAATTCGACGTGACGCGGTTCACGTGCTCGCCAGCGTTCATTCATAGCGTCACGCTGGCGTTGCCACGCCCGACGCCGGTCCTGCCATATACTTGCAGGCACGCACCACGCTGCGTTGCTTTGACGCATGCGCGCTTCAGCGCGTCTGGCGTCCTTCCGTCACGAAAAAAGGGAGACGCAGTGTTGTCTGGGTAACGCATCGGCGCAAAATGCAGTATGTCGCACTTCGCGCCATTTGCCGTCGAGCCGCGTAGACGGACGCTGGTCGCGCCTGGCCTCAGACTATAGAGTGCTCGCGTTTTGCTGACGTAGCGTCGCTGCGCCCAGCGTGCGCACGCGTCAACGCTACATTGGAGTATATGGGGCTCTTAATAGAGAGTTTTAGTACTGCGGAATGGTGCTACGTACGCATCACGCAAGCGCCTTGCGTTACGTGGCGTTGTTTGCCACTAATAGGCTTTTAGTACGCCGTAGTACCCACGTACGTAACGAGCGTGAAGCGTGTTGTGCCATCTGGTAGATCAAAATAGAAGCACATGTTGTTGACAGCCATTGTTGTAAGCCAATCCAAGTGTTATAGCCAGATTATGGCCATATTTCAAGCCACAGAGCCGGTCGGTGCTTGCCTTCGATGCCGCCATTTTGCGAAACGAAGTCTCGCGCTGTCGCGAACTTGTTCGAGAGCGGCGCGATCACCTCATATGTACGCACGCACGCATCTTATGCGTGCATACGTAGCGGCTGCGTACGTATTGCGATACGTGCGCGCTGGGGTCTGCGCATGCGCACTTTGCAGAACGTGGCGTCCTTACGTACGCAACGCCGCCACGTACGCAGCGTACGCAGCACCAAAACTCTCTAATGATGCGCTTGCGGCATTTTGCTACCTCCACATACACCGCATTTGGTGTTGCGTGACGTCAATAAATGACGAAATACATGACTGGTGCAAACATGGTATTCTTGACAAGCGTATCGTGTAAGAACATGACAACATACCCCGCTCATAGCTGGCTCACGTCCGTTTCGCTAGCTGCATATATACTAAATATGGTATTGCGTGACGTGAATAGATGACGAAACTAAACGACACTATCAAACATGATAATCGTGACACGTAAGTCGTGTACGGCATCATTTACCTCCGCCTCCTAACATTGTACTGATTTTAGAGTGACATATAAATCTTCCTCATATGATTTACTTATATGTGGGGTTTAACGTCCCAAAATCACCATAGGATTATGAGAGACGCCATAGTGGAGGGCTCCGGAAATTTTGACTACCTGGGGTTCTTTAACGTGCACCCAAATCTGAACACACGGGCCTACAACATTTCCGCCTCCATAGGAAATGCAGCCGCCGCAGCCGGGATTTGATCGCGCGACCTGCGGGTCAGCAGCGAGTACCTTAGCCACTAGACCACCGTGGCGGGGCTGTATTAAATGGCTGCGCAAAGTATAAGGCTGGGAGTTTTGTTAGTCGTAGATGTATGACAGCAAGCATACGCGCAATAATTAGGTTAAAAATACATGCTGTCATGGGCACACAGGCAATCGCAAACACATCACCCACGACAAAATGTAACAAAGCTTGTTGGATGAACAGTGTAGGTTAAGTGGGTGATTGTGGCGCATTGTTCCTCTTTTTGAGACAACGCGATCTGCAACAAGCGGAGGATGGCGGCATAGCAATCAATTCTCCAATGGAACTGTTGCTCCACGTGGAACAGAAAAAGTATTACTGCAAGTGCTGCAAATCTGCCAATGAATGACATCATAAACGTTGTATCGCTGCCGGATGCCATGTCCGGTGAAGACAAGGGGTGCGTCAAGTGAAGCCGAGAACGGGGAAGGGACTGCTCCTTGTTCGGGTAAAGTGCGTGACAATGGTTACAGGAATTTGCCTTTGCGCGACGCTATGCGACACATCACGCGAAACCGAAACTGATCAGAAGTCCATGACTCTGAGATAAGTATCTTGAATTTAGGACATGGAACGCCCAACACCACGGTAAGCAGCCAGCCATCTTGGGTCGCTGAGCCCTTGAAGCCCCTTCCGAAGACTTCCAACTATGAGAATGCATGGCGCTTCGTGAAGATGGTCGTAGTTAGTTAGGAAACAAGCTTGTTTCTGCAACCCATGAATAAACAAGACGAAGGGTCATAGATGAATTGGGGAATGAACGATACAAGTACATTGTACTAGAAGGAGTGCACTGTAATTCAAGAGAGCGCAAAGTGGCTACCTTATTGCGTACGCACACAACCGACGGTCGGGTCAAAGCACCATCCCCCTTTTTCAAATACCGGCGCGTGCCCAGCGGTCCTGATAAAACCGAACACAGCGCACCCTGCATTCGATGCGGACGTTCAAGTACTAGGACACGGCACGGCCAGCCGCCTTACCCAGTGCTCAAAATCGTTACCCTCTTTTCCTAACCACCACCTTTGCAGAGCGTAGTGACAGCCTGTCTGCAATTTGATAGGCAGACAGCAGTAGTTAAGTACTGCTTAAGTCGGCGAAATTTTCTCCTCTAGTGGGTATGCACACAAATTTACTCAAGGATGTCGTCATTAGATGGATGGTCTGTCACCCCGCCCTCACAGAACATTGAGGACTGCATAAGCGGGACTCTATAGACATTTATTTAGTCACGCAGGGGATCAGCTGCAGCGCTTCACTCATGACGTCGTGACCTCTCCCCACTTCCCCCCCCCTCCTATAGCTGAATATACTAGGAAAAAAGACACGATTTGCTTCTAGCCATCCATATCTCTCTTTACTACACCCGCTCGTGTCCCCCACCCTCTGCATGGGTACGATCACTATCTTCTCCAACACTTCACAACACCTCCATTCCCTTTATTTTCCTTTACCAGTGTTTCAGTTGAGGTTTCTTCATTGGAGAGACAGTTATCATGCACTGCAAACCAAACTTCTCTTCTTTCCATCAAGGATCACCCCCTCCCCCCTTCGCTGCGGGCGGCTGAAACAATTGGGCCCACTCTACTGACTGATTTCCCCACATTGCACAGCGTGCCACCTTTAGAGTACCACAGCATGTTCATTAGCTTATACTTCATGTAGACAAATGGTGACGGCAAAGTTTCTGTTTAAGTTCCCAATAATTACCGTCACTTATCTGGTAAACCTCAAGTGTTGCAACAAACAGCGCATTCATTAAAACCTTGTTTAGTAATATTTCAAATATCTCATCTTTCGGAGCTTTCACTGGCGGCGTATGCCTGAGCTCAATGACATGATGCACTGGCAAGCGACCGTATGCCTTTAACGGTGACCTTGAATTTATGTTCGTTCTTCAGTCTACACGCGTCTTCACTTAAGCATATACGAAGTAGATGAGGACTCTCAAACGGCTGTTCTCCGTGCTTTCTGCTGTAGCAATACTGCGAGTGGCCCCACAACGTGGTACGGTAGGAAGAACTTTATTTAAGGATCTGGAGTAGTAGATGAAGCAATACTAAAGTACCGTTCGCGCACACAAGAGATATTACAGGGTTTTAGTTGTAGACGTACAGATTAAAACACAATTCCTTGTGGTAGACACATAGTACAACGTGGTAGATAGGACAAAAACAAGAGCCTCTCGGTGCCAGTGAGATCCACTTCGGCGTTCGTCTCATATTTGATGGGCCAATCGCATGTTGGCTAGAGGACCGGTGCTGTTCAATATCGGTGAAGTACACAATTATTTTTGGGTCACAGATATGTTTGAGGGTTTGCATGGCCAACACGCACACTTTATTCGTTTATTTTTCACATTCGTAAACCCTCAATCACTTGATGGGTGTTACATAAAATGGGAAAAGGGAGGGGGCAGTATCAGTGAAGCAGTTATTACAGCCTTAGTCGGTATTTTACAACAGCGACACCAATGAAGCAAAAATAAAGTAACCTTAACAAACACAAGATACTTTACAAACCTGTAGTTGTAGGCATACGGATTTAAAACACAAATATTAAGCGATATTATGCAAACTACCTAAGAATAGTACAAATGAGTCATGCTTTACGATACAAAGAACGCGGTGTATTCGATTATTTCAATGAAGCATGGCACCATAAAGTGGTGAGTTATTCAAGACGTTAGAGAGAGAGAGAGAGAGAGAGAGAAATAACATTTATTTATACATCCGGCGTGTAGGAAGTCCCCGGCCTCACAGGGCGGGGATGTTCCCCATCTTAAGATTACGGCTATTAGAGTCTGATAATCTCAGAGCCTAGACCTCGAAGATGTTGTGCTCCGACTAGGCGACAGTTACTCGATGCCTCCGCGCCCGTTAGACGGGTCGTCGGCTCCGTTGCATCGTCAAAGCCTCCTCAAGCCACTGGATGACCCTTTAACAAGTTAGTTTACCTATACTGAACTGCATCTCTGGAGCGGCGATCTAGGCGAAAGAAAATGCGATGGACAGGCTGCATGAGGGAGATAGCAATTACACATCTAATGATTATGATTAGCCTTATGGAAGCTGGCTGAATATTCCAGCTGTTTTGCTTTTGTAAATATGGAAGATGTAGTGATCTTTCGTACGATGTTCGCATTGAACATGCGGTGGACTTACTCAGGAAACAATTCTCGCGCGATGTCTCGCGGTTGAATAAAGGCTTCAATATTGCGCTCATGTTGCCGATGCTGCACGGCGAGAAGCGGTCATTGTTGGGCCTGTCTCCCCCTGGTCGCAGAGGAGTACATGATGTACTTTCCCTGGGGACCTTCCGGCTCGCAAATGTGCCCATGGTCGTGCTGCGTAAGAAGGCCAGCCATCTTGTAGAAAACTGCGATGTGTGGCATCCACGCTGTATATAGTGTGGAGGTGACACATCGATGTTTTTATCGGTCATAAAAGAAAACACATTCGGTTTTTATCGGTCATAAAAGAAAACACATTCGCCCACTGCAATACGAAGACACTCAGTTGTTTGGCTTACTACGTTCACGCTCTAATCTGCCTAATCAATACGAACAGACTTTTCTAGATGTAACATGATTGTGCATTTGAAAATGCGAACAATTCTATGTTAATTTGCACAGCGCAGACACAAGTTGTAATATTGAATTGAATTGAGTTGAATTAAGTTTATTGAGCAACAAATATTTCACGGAGACAACAGTGTGTTTCTCTGCATTGATTTCTAGCACACGATACTCAAAAGCTGTTTAATTTCCGCTAGTCATTATCATGATTTGAGTATTCGCATTCGATATTGCTCACCAGTATTAGTATTATGTTTTATTTCGGCTTGTATATACTTTATTATTTGCTTCGAGCGTCTTCTATTCTGTCTTCGAAACCTCAGTCACCCGGTAACAGCCTAAGACACTTATAAATATTTGTATTGACCTTTTACCTTCTGTGCTGAGAGATAATAGAGGAAGTATTCGAAATAAATAAAATTGATCGCTTCCGAAGTATGTAACCAAACTCGTTTGTTGCGAAATGTGGCCTATGAATAAGTAAATAAACATAGATTTCTCTATGTAGCATGTCTTGTGGGATATTTTAAAGCTGGTCCAGAGTAGCTGGCTTGATCTACAAAGTGCATTTTCTGTCCAGGTCAATCCTCGCACTTGTAACACGTGCTGTCAGTTCACTAAATTAAGGATGAATTTCTATTATTATTTTACTAGCTTGGGTTAGTAAATATAACTGTTAGCTGCGCCATTTACAACTAAATTAAGCCATATCTTACAGCAGCAGTGCGTTTTCTACACAAATGAGTTTTCTTTGCTTTTCAAGTCAATAAATAATGCCTGAAATGTGCTGACTCGTGGTGGCATTGATGTCCCAAAGCAGTGTGCTTCACGAAATTACTCGAATCTGCGTTCTAGAGTATGACTTACGAATTGTTTGTTTAGAACCACTCCTGTGGCCCCAGACTATATGAGACCTCCAAGAAAGCTTCACCCCACGCAGCTATACAAAATCTCAAAGACATCACACGACTTGTGCCTTGCTGCATGATTACAGTATACGTTCACTTTCGAAGGCTTAGGCGCCCCTAGTGCTAATGAAACGATTGCAAGTACGTGGTCGTTTTGATAGATTTAACAGATATGTGGTGCCACCTATGTAAATATAGCACTGCATTGACATCTCGATTGAATGAAATGTTGAAAGAATACGGTCACGGGGTCGTGACGTGGTCGAAGACGGGAGACTTCATGTTGGGATTCAACTGTTTATTTGGGCGAACCTGTGCCCGGTAAACGGAAAGTCCAATGACAGCAGACGTCTGGCGATGGAAGTGCGATGGGGCGGCGTTTTGGCGTGCGCGTGGAAGAGGGGCGTGGCGGCGTGCTGCAGCAGCATAGCTCATGACTTGCTGCTGCGGCTCTTCAGGCTGGGGAACGCCCAGCGACTGCTGGATCTCCTGGCGTACGACGTCCGCGATAGATTCCACGTGAGGCTGCGCTGAAGGAAGTAATTTTCGCAGCTCTTCTTGCACGATCGCTCGGATCGTCTTACGCAAGTCAGTGGTTCCAAGCGCTTGAATGCCGGCGTAGCTTGTAGACGAGAAGCTACGGTTATATTGCCGCGTGCGCATCTCTAGCGTCTTCTCTGATGTAGATGCTTCGGAAATGAATTCGGCGACCGTCTTCGGCGGGTTGCTGATCAGCCCGGCGAAGAGTTCCTGCTTTACTCCTCGCATAAGTAGGCGCACCTTCTTCTCCTCGGACATGTCGGAGTCAGCGTGGCGGAAGAGTTTAATCATATCTTCCGTGAATAGCCCCACGTTTTCATTTGGCATCTGCATGCGGTTTTCGAGGAGAGCTGCGGCCTTCTCCTTGCGCACCACACTTGCGAAAGTGGTGAGGAACCTGGCGCGAAAGGCGTCCCACGTTGTGAGGCTTCGCTCTTGATTCTCGAACCAGGTCCGAGCAGCATCTTCCAAGGCGAAATACACATGCAGATGCCAAATGATAACAAAATCTTGGGAAATTAGATGTGGCAATATTAATAACAGCACACCTTTAGAACCCACAGCAAGGCGGTGTTCGTCAGCTTAAAAAACAAAGCAACTTTGAGGAGGGAAGGAATGTTTTCCTCTTACTACTCTGGTGTTCTTACTGTGGGTCTCACTGTATGGCCCACTGCTTGTCCACTACATAGCTAAGAACGTAGCGCGCAAAACTGTAAGACACAGGACAAGAGAAGGAACGAAGAGGAGTGTTAACTTCCAAAAAACTTCCGGGACAAAGAGGAGCGCTAACTTAAAACGAAATTTATTTTGTTGGAAGTTTTTTGGAAGTTAGCGCTCCTCTTCGTCCCTTTCCTTGTCCTGTGTCTCAGAGTTTCTACGCGCTACGCTATTAGTTATGCATTACCCACGCGCCCAACTTCGTACTCTTGCTTGCCCACACTACAGACCACTGAAACGATACGGACGAGCGGTATAATACACCTCATCGAAAATATGGGGGCAAATTGCTGCTTTCCGAGCCAAGTATGGGTACAGCCGAGCCAGTTCGGTTACAAGTTGTTTTTTATGTACAGGTCAGCATTAGACGCGAAATGAATCACTCCAAGAAAGAGCATGACAGTGCGCTCTCATGTCTGTTCTGTCTTTTCGCCTGTCTCCTGTCTTAGCACAAAACAATTCTGCTTGCTAAAAAGATATAGCAATGACGCATGTAAGTTGTGATGATTTGCAGCAATGTGAAGAAAGCGTTAATATCCCGATATGGCGGAAATGGGCTGCGGCGCCTTGCCACAACAATACTTATTTTTTACGTTTCGTAGTGTCCGCCCAGATGGTACAGTGATGATGGACGGCTGTTGACCTCAAGGCCGCTGGTTCGATTGCGGCTGCGGCAGTGGCATTTCAATGTAAGCGAAAGCAAGAAGTCCCACATATATTGTCGAAATTTCAGAAGCCATTCCCGATGGCGGGCCTTTTACCCATAGTTTGGTTTCGGTCCATTAAACCTCCGATAGTATATTATTTCTTTACATAGAATACTTGAAGGAACGCTATAATTTTCTGGTGTGGCATGATGTGCGCATATAACACGGCACACATTTTCAACATCTTTGTACGACACTGCACGAAAGCCCCGTACTGTTTAAACTCACATCTGCAAGAATTGCCGGTTGGTTAGATCATTTTGCTGTAGTACCATGCACGCTAGCAATGTCCCGCATAACATAGCCAAGGTTTGATCTGTCTGCAAACTACAACGCCCTTCTCCTTTCTTCTCGTGAACTTGGAGCTATTCTGGTGACTGGCAGGCATGGCCATTCTTAGGAGCACAAGCAAAAGTACGAACTTCCGACTCACGGGCGATCCGAAGCTGTGACCAATCTCATGGGCGAGCGTGAGTGAGCCTATCAGTAGGCCCACGTACTGGCGTTGGTTGATGAGCGTGGTGATTCCACAGTTGAGGCTCATCTTGGCCTGTCGGTATTCGCCTCTGACGGGATCATACTCCACTGACGACCGGTACCGCTCACAGATGCCACCAGTGCCCGCTGCACACAGCGTCAAAAAATGTCCACTCGTTATTTCGGTCTGTCGACCACGATCACCAAAACCTTTGACAGTACCTAAGAACCAAAGAGCGCTAGCCCGTAGAAGTAGAAGAAAGAGGCACACATAATCGGCTTTTTTAAAGTGAAAGCCTTTGATGTCTTATCAACCGCTAATAGTGGCCACCAGTGTCAACCCTAGTGAGGTGAAAAATCACCACTACGTGTTGACGTCAGCCTGCAACGAAATCTTGACGTCAAAGGTCACAAAAACTTGGACGTGATTGACGTGACTGTCACGTGATGACGTCATCAGAACACTTCACCACGTGGTCAGCGGTGGGCCAATCCCGAAGGTGCGGCAAACCACGTTGGGCGCAGACGACAGCTTTCGGGGGGGGGGGGGGGGGGGGAGAGCGGCGGGATTAAACTGCGAGACTTTCAGGACCCTAAATTCAACCACTCTGGTCAAAACATAAAGCATTCCGAGATATGAGGTCTCAGATTGACATGGAGGTGTGAGAAGACTGGCGTAAAAAATCAATAATTCAGATTTGACCTTCATTTTCTCATTTAATGATGAACCTGTGATAGCGAAGTTAATGATAGTACACTTCTTAAATTGCATTTTATTAAGTTAGACACACTTGCGCTTCAGTCCATAGCTTCTTAAGTGCCAAGTTTTGTATATCTTATTTGTGCCTGTCGGGTATATTTGTGGTCTTTTCATTCCTATACAATAGTAGAAATAGTCTTAGTGTAGTACGCCTATTCGTTAATTATGGACAACTGTCCGGCCACCTCTAAACAAAATATTACTTTAATATTATATAGTAGGTTCTTCAAAAACGCATTACTGTACATGTCAATAATTGGTAAATGAAGCGCAGCAGGGATCTCCACAACCGCATGAGGAGTGCCAATTTTCACACAGACCACTATCACATTATTATACGACTACACAAAATCACTTGAATTTGAATGCTGTAATAACTCTGTTAAGCGACTGTAAGATACTACACTTGGCTCTTTGCGTATCGGTTTACGAGAGGCATACGAGCGTTGACGCATTTCTACACTGATTGTGGTTCCTCGAGACCCTATAGAGCATTTAGTTATAAGGCATTCAGTTAGTTAGACTGATCAGCCACAGATTATTTACACAGCGACGGCTTTCCCATTTATCTGACGAGTGACGAAGCTACGAATCGACATATGATAAAAATGAAGCATCAACGTTGGAATTCGTATTCCATTAGTCATAGGTGGGCACAGGGTTTTTCTACAGGAGGGGGGGGGGGCGGGGGTAGAAGTTTTGTTAAAGCGCCCTGCTCCTCATTGTGTCAATACGGCTGACTGTGGCTCCCATTTTAGGTGACGAAAGAAAAGGAGCACCCCCCCCCCCCTCCCCCTGCCGCCCTCTTGCACATGCCTATGCTATTAGCATTCAAAAGCAGTCCTCACTTTCCTCGCCGGCGATCCATGCAAGGCCCAGCGTGCCGTCTGCGAAATCGCGGAAGTTCAGCCTGAATGACAGGCAATAGTCGTCGTGGCGCGTGAGCGACACTAGGTACAGAAGCTGTGCCGGGTCCAACGACGTGCTGCACAGCGGGTCCTGCTTCGCCTTGTAGCCCACGCAGTCTCCGGGCTCGCTAATCTGCGATCCGCAATACGACGATTCTAATCGCTTTAGGTCACAAATGTGAACCGAATGTCACGCGTTGTGGAAACTGCAGCAACTCCGCTTGCTAAGGGCTTCACAAAAAAGACATGCTAAAGCCTATCACTGACGCTAGAAACCGGCCAAAGAAAGCTAGTGTCTAAGAACACGCATATACAGCACCAAGTGCACTGCCTATCTTTTCGATTACAGCACCTATGAAAGAAAGGACAGCATTTTATTCTTTGTGTAAGGAAGTGACATGTGCGAACACGGCCACCATGGTCAAAGTCAAAGCAATGGAGTCAACATGACGTTTCTATAGTCTGGTTCCACTCTCTGTTTCCTGTGCATGCCTCACTTCGGCAATAAACTCGTTCAAATGGAGGTTCTAGGACGATGTCAATGTGGTTATTTTAAACCGGCACATAAAGACATATCAGCAGAGATTACGACTGTTTGGTCATATGAACTTTTTTTTTCCTAGAATCTCTTGACTTGTGTCGGAACCGAGTGCCACTTATGGACGCCATATAAGGTACTTCTCTTATTGGCAGTCATTTGACGGCAGTTTTAGTCTACTTCCCGCGCCAGTGGTGGACGCTCTAGTCGAGAAACTGAGGTTGTCGGACAAGGGCTGCCCAGAGCCATTACCTATAAACTTTCCATGCGGCTCACTTTGAGCCGTGCCATCCCGAAAACATCCGTGCATGGGAGCCCTACCGTTCTATTACGACATACAAAATCTGTCTCATTCGCCGTATCCAACACACCCAATGTAATCGCATGTGGCACTTACCATAATGTGTTGCACGACGAAGCTGATGTCTTCAATGCCGTCGAAGTTAATGCCACCGTAGATGGAGTTCACCTTGTTCACCAGGTGGGCGACAACGGACGTGGCGATCTCTCGCGACGCCATGACACTATCCGTATCCTGCAGGATGCTGTCGGTGAACGTGTTGTCCACGACAATCTCCAAATTGCACACGCGACGCGACAGGGACTCCTGACGTGGCTTGGCAGGTTTCGCGTATTTATTCTTCGACCTCGCCTTCTTTGTCGATTCCGCGTAATCTCGGGAATCGTCGAGCTCTTCGTGCTCCGTTCCCACGATGGTGTCGCGTTCTTCTTCGCCGATCGGCTCATTATATTTCGCTGTAGAGCGGTCGTGTCTTTCATTTTCGTCGTCATCAATTGCTTCGCTATAGGCGTGCAGCTTCCGGCCTACACGGCTCACCGCTGAGTGACTCTGCACAGTGTAAGTGCACGCGCTAAATTATAGTATTGCTCTGAAACTTCAGGAGTTCTGAATCTCTTTACGAATGAACGAAAATTTTAAATTGACCTACTCATCCGTATTTGTTCTTGCACGGTTCCTAAACGACCTAGCACACCTGCATGGTGAAATCGGTGAGCCTTAGAAAAGGCCTGAGCCAATTTTTCAGAAACCTTCTTAAACAAATGGGAACGAATAGGTGCTTTCCAAAAAAATTATAAGTTTTTTTTTAATAACCTTAGAGTTTTCTGACAACAACACTGCCTTATGGCGGTGCGCTTACGCCATCGACACGAATGAATATAGTTGGTAATTATTGGTCGATCTTTGGCTCAATGATGAATCGAACCAACTGACCTAGCAAAAACTTGACACACGGGAAATGATACTTAACGTACAGTCTCCCGTCATATTCATGAATATTATTGCATGGTCAAAGATAGGCTGAACCTGGAGTCACCGCATAACCACGTTTTGTGCAGAGCACTTTTGGGTAAAGGGGTGGGGAAGTGCTGGAGTCAATATATCGACTGAATAAAGAAAAAGGTTTTGGCCTTCGTATCGTCTTACGCTAATGCTTGAAATTGCCCTGAAACACTCTTTGAAGCAACCATGGAATTAATTCACTGGAAAAGCGTATTGCCTCAAAAATTCAACACCGAAAAAATGTTAAGAATCCGTCCAGTACGAGCGGAGTTGCGAAGATTTGTCATACGCTGCACTCGCATTCTCTCTTCTCTCGACCCGACGAAAGCGTTGAAAGCTAAGCAGGGAGGGATGGGAGGGGCAAACGAAAAACGTCATGCGCGCCTCGTGACCTTGAGCACTTTTAAAGACGACAGTCTTTCTTGGGGACCTTCGAGGGGAAAATTTTGGTCTGTCTGTGTCTGTCTGTCTGTCTGTCTGTCTGTCTGTCTGTCTGTACATTTGTCTGTTTGTCTGCCCTAACGATACCTCAAACGGCACCGAACGGTCAACCCCATTCGCGGCGCCCACTAATATTCCTCAAGGTTTAGCGTTCATAGTTGTGCGATTGTCAATTAAAAAAGCGAATATTGCGCATATCTGAGGCGCCATAACAACATGTCTATGTTTTGTATGTCTGCCTTCATACTAGAAGAAGACACACACAAGACACTCTAAGGACTGTAGCGTTTAGCACGGTGCGCTGACAGTGCAACGCGATGCTCAAGAAGGTGTTTTCAACGCTTTGCTACGACGGCACGGTGGTGGCACCTGCCCGTCGCTTTCCATTCAACACCTTATCACCTCCGTGACTGGCACGCATCTTTCTCCGCGGTCACGCATGCCTTCGTTTTCGAAGATAACTGCCAGATGGCGCTCGTGTTTAACGTGCCTACCACTTCATAACGTGCCGAACACTTGATAATGTTCTGTAAAGGGCTTCACCTTATGGTTCAGGATGATGGCGCAGAGTTTTTCAAAGCACTGGGGTTTAGGGACAGGGAGGGCAAAATAGACTTTAAGCGGGTAGAATTAACTAGAAGGAGGTTATCTGATTGGTGGCTAAAGTCAAGGCACAAGTGAAAATTAAACCCTTCACTGCAAAGTACGAATCCTCAACATCACTATTTAATGGAAAAAATCTAGTTTTTGGTTCATTAAGTATTACGGCTTGGTGGCGCTAGCCACCGCCCGATCTAAAGGGTACAGCTATATGAATCAATCCATCCATCCATCCATCCATCCTAAATGCACTTGTTCGCCTCTGTTACATGCTCGAGGCACTCTAACGCAGCGCCTTCAGAATACCATTCACCTATTTTTTTGCGTAGAACTTCAAATAAACGTTTTGTTCATTTTCTCCAGACGCAAGACTATCGTCTTTCGACGACATTCACAGTGTAAGATGTAGATTCGGGCCAATTTTTTCTTTTTTTTTTCTTTAAATACGCGGCTTTCTCAGTGCGATCGCGCACACGCGTGGACAAGTGACGGCCTCTCGTGGTAATCTCTGTAACAACCGAACGCGCCATGTTCGAATAAGCCAATGGCTGATCGATGGGCTTACTACGAGTGATCTTAGGGCTTATTCCGTGATTTGTTGAGAGAAGGGAAAACAATTTTTAGCTGACTTTGATAATTTATCGTGAATTGCAGGCCGCGTGCTGCGCTATAACTTTTTGTTTGCGTGTTCTCGGGAGCCTCTACTACCGATCGGCAGCGTTTTCTGACCAGGCTCAAAAAAGTGTTGCAGGGCGCCTTTAAGAGGCCGTGTGCATTTTATACGGTATGGATACCCTTTAAGCGAAGGTAGTTTGTACAATGTAGAGATCTGCCCCTGTTCTCGCCTTCTGAGGTGAAACGTGACGGAGTCTGTGCAGCGTGTCTCTCATCCATTCTTCGGTGCTGCCGTGCAGCCCACACCAGCGGCCGCCTGCCAACGTAGGGAACTCGATGTCGGCGCTGGAATAGAGCACCGAGTGGTAAGAGCGGCTGTCATTGAAGAACCTGCTGGCCCGCTCCACGTAGAAGCTGTCGCCCGAGCTGGTCTCGATGCTGCCTTCGAACACACCATGGTAAAGAGAGCCGAACACCCGGCTACGGGGTTTACCTGCAAGTCACATGTAAGGCTTTGTTCATGTCAGCCCTTTCTCGTGAACAATTTGAACAGTGGTGCGGTCTAACTCAAGAGAAGCCAAGAGGATTTATGTGATAGAGCTTTATTAGTTTCATTATTTTTGGGCAAACATCCTGGTGAAATTTCACAAGTGACCCTTTAAAGATCAAATACGACTGTTAGTTCAACATAGATCAGTTTTAGTGAAGCATAAACATTACGAATCTAGCCTGAACAAAAGTTTGAAGTTTTGAAGAGGACCGATATATTATGGATGACGTCAGCTATCAGCTGTATATACGGAATCGAGTAAGAATACTGTTATATTACCAGCATCAACTTGATTGATATGTGAGGTTACCAGCATCAACTTAAAATCCTTCAATTGAAGGCAGGGAAGCAACAAACAAACTATTGTCTGCTTGAAGCAAAGACGGAGAACGGGCTCACATTAATAACAAGAGTCCCGTCGAGAGGAAGGTTTAGTCGCAAAGCTCCTGACATCGACCCATACTTCCTTGAGGCCCGAGTGTCATGAAGAGTATTCTCGTTAGCGCACACACTCTGACCGTGTTCCTCGTTACGACATGTATTTTATTAAACAAGGGAACAAGGAGGAAGAACCTCAAAAGTGCCGATCTCTAGTAACAACAAAAGGCGGTCCAAATTACCCGTGAACGGGCGGAAGACCATAGACTTCCGGCCCCAATGTGAGCACGGCCCCCAACTACGACTCTGCAGTTCTTTACAACCCGACAGGCCAACCTATCGACCAACTGTGATATAATACCATAATAAAATAGCGACTCAATCGAGAAGGTTCGAAGGACATTTCAAATCACAAAAAACGATCGCTGCTACACTACGAGATCAGATATGCTATCAACCCAGTCCTACGGCTTCAGCACATAGCATAAAAACTATATGAGCTTGCTGCTGTACTTTCCTTAAAGGAATCCTGCATCACTATTTTAAGTAGCCACGACGGAGCTTATTGTCTCGCGAATTCACTGCCTCAAAAATTTTCACCACTCCGTCCAGTGCGAAATCACATTTATGGCGCGCTGCTATCGATCGCATTCATTATCTTCTTTCGTCCCGACGAAAGTGTGGGAAGCTAAGCAGCGAGGGACGGCGCGAGGAAAGAAAATGCGTCAAACGTGCCTCATTACCTTGAACACTTTTTTTTTCATCAAATGAGTGACTCTTCATTGCGATCGCGTGCAGATGCGCGGACAAATCGCAGCCTCTCGGGGCGGCCCCAGTAACCACCATGCACGCCATGTTCAAATCAGCCGATGGCTGATACTAGGCCTGGGACGTTGTCATCTTGAGCCTGTAGCGTCATTTTCGAGAGAAGAGAAACGGATTTTTAGCTGACTTTGAGAAGTTATTGTATATTCCACACCACGTGCTGCGCTATAATACACACCTGTTTTCGGGAGCCCCGACCACCGATCGGTAGCGTTTTCTGACCATGCTGAGAAAGTGTTGGAAGGCCGCCCGTACTATTTATCAAATATCACTTGGGATGGAAAATTTTGCGATTGCTGATGAGCACATTTGACAGCACTAGGAAATGCATACGAACAAAATACCAGGATTTGCATTGTCGCATCACATACGAAACTGGGTGACATGAAAGCGTGAAAAGGCCAGTAAACAGCCCTGAGGTCCAAAAATTTTTAGAAAGGGATATATATGCAGTTTTTCTTTGCGAACATGGTGCCGCAAGAATTTTGCGAATACATGCAATCTTAAGGAAGTTACCGGGGTTAGAACGTCGGTCTAAGCTGGTTTCATATTTTCGCACGACCTCGCCCCCTTTCTCCATTTCATGAAGCGGAAGGCGTAGCCCATCGTGGTGACTCCGCCAACTTCGGCAACGTGACACCACGTCAGCAATTGACGTCCTCAGCGAACTCGATCAGTCGCAACGCACTTCCGCTTGATGCGAAGCGTGGTTGTTTGTTTACCGTTTGCCGCACCAGCCGCGGGTCAACCGTGTAAGCGTCAGGTGCGAAGTGTCGACCACAAACGATCAGGTCCCCGACGTACGTCGCTGGATGGCCGATTCGCTTCAGCCATTCAGCGCGCAGGGCCCCCATTGTGAGGCACCAGGTGCCGATGCTTCTCTGCTGCCTAGTCACTCGATTTGCAGCCGACGACAGAGCAACGCTTTTTACCCGTGTTGCTCATGTCAAGGGCGAAGTACGTGCGCACAGCCACTGATTGATTGATATGTGGGGTTTAAACGTCCCAAAACCACCATATGATTATGAGAGACGCCGTAGTGGAGGACTCCGAAAATTTTGACCACCTGGGGTTCTTTAACGTGCACCCAAATCTGAGCACACAGGCCTACAACATTTCCGCCTCCAACGGAAATGCAGCCGCCGCATCCGGGATTCGAACCCGCGACCTGCGGGTCAGCAGCCGAGTACCTTAGCCACTAGACCACCACGGCGGGGCTGCGCACAGGCACTGTAGTTGAGCGGAGTGTACACGTGCACGCGACAACTGCGAGGGTGGTTCTTTCACCGCAGTGTCAAGAAACACGAGGCAGTTTCGTAGCTGTGGGTGGAAACAGGAACTGACGTTGACTTCACTACTGTTTTCTCATACCCCATTTAGACCAATCGGCGATCTGCGTGCTACGTCACGTCGCCTATCACCGAGTTGACGTCACTGCACGTGCGAGGGGGTCGGTCAGGCGTAGGAAAGACGAGCGGGAATTGTTTTAAGTGTGAATACACTTTATAAGCGACCCCAAACCATCCACCGCCGTCGGCGGCGTCCGCAGTCTTTTCTCTATCTTTAAAAGAAAGGGGACTTGGCGGGCTGCAGCGCGACGCTCTACCGAATAAGCCACGGACGCGACGCTGATATCGGTGTCAGTAACGCGCCTTATACCCCCTCCCCCTTCGCTCGCTCCTCCGCTCTCCTCGCTCGCTGCAGCTGCGCGCGCACCCCTCTCTCTCGCGCGCCCGCCTTCTCTCTCAGTCTCCCGTCGAGAGCGGGTCGTGAGGGGGAGTAAAGTTAAAATCCGTTGGCATTCGCCAGTGAGTTAACGTAAACTCCCCCGTGTGATCAAATTGCGATTCCCAGGAACCATTACACCATAAAGGCACCATAGTGTGATTAATAAATATAATAGTGCGAATTATAAATACCCCTCATAGCATCACCCCGTGTATTCGCACTTGACCATGTTCACCCTCGGGAAAATGCTTGGGAGTTTTTTTCGAAATAGAGGCTCTGCGCGGGGCGCAGCGCTTCAATATTCAGAAAACGTGATCGCTGCGGTCTAATCTACAAATTGCCGAGCTTGTATGAGGGGTGTAAAAAAAAGTTGGAGCCTATTTACTGGCCCTTTGAGCGCACAAGGACGCAAACAAAATGCATCACACAGAGTGCTACTTCCAACTGATATGCACTAAAACGCAAACACGCCATATGTGTAGTTTCCTCACTCACAAAATGGTAACTGCGCATGCAAGGAAACATGGTTATCACTTCCTCTCTCATTTCCACGTTCTTTTTCTTTTTGTCTTTTAGAGCTAGAGATTACAGGCTTTTTTGGCGCGCGCATGTAAACTGGACGACAAAGCAATAAGTTTACATAGTCAAACATGAGTTGATGTGAGCCACAGTTGCATTTTTTGTTTATATTGTTACGAGCCAGCGGCTTTTCATAGATACTAAAAGCAAAGGATGCAGTCCCGTTACACCGTTTCATCAGCGACAGCTGCAATATGCAATTTACGCTCGTGAATTCGGGAAAATAACCGTTCACGTACCGATAACGTAGCCTTTGTAGATGTGGCTCGTATCAACGTTGACGATTCCTTCTGTAGACGACTCTACGACGAGGTTTTTGTGAAAAACAGATGCGTCCGCGGTGAGATGCAAGTTGAGTGACCTGTAAAAGAAGAAGAGCCCTTGCTGCAATTTATTAGGTTTCTCCCGTCCACTATACACGAATCATGTACCTTTTTGTCATCAATGGTAGCTGCTGCAACTACATTCATACATACAAAGAACTTTATTTTTACATACAAATAACTCTATTTCTACATGCAAAGAACTTTATTTTTACATGCAAAGAACTTTATTTTTACAAAGAGCCTTATTTTACCTACAAACAACTTTATTTTTACATGCAAAGAACTTTGTTGTTAAACACAAGGAACTTTATTTTTACATGCAAAGAACATTGTTTTTACATACAAAGAACTTTATTTTGCTACAGCTATAATATTTATTTAGTATCTTCTAATAACGGAGCCTTTAGTTCTTGCCTTTTTTTTTGTCGAGTCGTTTCTTCAAAAAAATCTGAAAAGCTTTACATTTATGCAAATGAGCAAAAAGTAATCATTATTTTAGCTGAATCCTGTATATTGTTTTGAAAAATGTGGTGGTTCGGTAAATAACCCTAAACGGCAAACTAGTTTCACTTAAACAAAACCATCATACACGGCGCGTTAGCCTTTGCGCAGCGAAAAGTCAGCTGAAACTGCGCCGTCCGCTGCGGTGGAAAAGTGGTCATGGGACTCGGCTGCTGACCTGAAGGTCAAGGGTTCGATTACGGCTGCGGCGGTTACGTTTTGACGGATGCGAAATGCCATAATCCCGCGTACAGGGCGTTGTCAGTGCACTATAAAGAACACCAGGTGGGCGAAATTTCAGAAGCCCTCCTCTAAGGCGTCTATCATAACACCGTGGTTTTGGGACGTATAAAAATCTATTATTATTATTATTATTATTATTATTATTATTATTATTATTATTATTATTATTATTATTATTATTATTATTATTATTATTATTATTATTATTATTATTATTATTATTATATCGCATGGCAGTTAGCCGTGCTATCTGAGGGCGACTATCCGATTCTCAGGCAGAGTGCAGAAATCCTTTATTCTCGGTACTGTCAAAAGTTTGCATAAAATATAGGTGACAATAAAAATCAACGAGAAACGTGCTTACCACGTGCTACTGCACTCGGCACATAGACTGTAGTTATTTCCAAGCGAAACACCGGCTTTCAAATTTTACCCAGCCCTATAGTTGCGACAATAGACATGCTTCATGGGTAAATTCGCCGGTTTTATAGATAGCGCAGTCAGTCGAATTGTGCAGCTGTAAAATCCCCGTCGTTAATCCTTCGTGACAGTAGCATCCCTCGTTCACTAATGCGATTATCCGAAGGTGAACGCAGAGAAGACGAAAATGAATTCATTTGACGTGATGAATGGTTGTGAGAAGAAAGAATTACACAGGACAGGCGCAAACTTACAACTACAGTTTATCTAAAAAAAAAGAGTAAGCTTACAAAGGGCTAACGTAAGGTATTTAGGTGCATGCGCTCCAAATATTGTTTTCATTCAGAACATGAATCACCACAAAAAAAAATTGAAATTTCGGGAGTTGGCGTGTTCAGAGGTAAGCGCCACTTGTTAGTTCTTTCTGCTTTTTTGTTATTTCAATAAATTTTAGTTCGTGAGTCCGTGCATGTGCAGTCTTGTACTTCTTTTCGTCCTTCTCGAGAACGTAGTGAAGCACACGCATTCACAAGAATGAATCCCTGCCACTAGCTCACACTTCTATACTAATCAAACACGTACAACTGTAACGCACGAACGCAGGTTTGTTCATCGCTTGAATGGCTAGCGGAGAACTGCTTAGTGACGCGCGGGTGGTCCCTCACCGTCTACTGCTGCGAATCTGCACACGTACGTCGCCGCTCCCTCCGGCATCGACGGAGCGCTTTGCCCGGCTGTGGCTCCGGTGCACAGGGTCGAAGTACACGGGCTCGAAGCGACGTATGAACATGTTGAGCCGCTTATCTGTAGAAATACAGTGAGTAGCTGCAATATAGTCACCAGCTACAATATGCAGCCTTTACTTCGTCTGTCATAATGCATATACAGCGTGAATAAGGGACATAAGGGAAGTTATTTACGAAACCAAAACGAGCTGCTGGCTTCCTGCTGTTATTTTTTTTTGCAGGCTCTACAACTTCCTCATGAGAAATAAATGCATAACACCATCTGTGATTACATTAGTTGGCCATTTTAGCTACAATTGAGACAATATTACCCCACTATCTTTCAAGACAACCATTGTCATGCATTTTGTTTCGTTTTGAGTTAATTTCGAAGGTGTTAGGTAGCAAGCAGGAACTTGAACAAGTATTAGCGCGACGAAAACGGGGGCGAGAATAAAAAAAGACAAACTACAGCGCCGACTCAAGACTAAATTTTATTCCGGGAAGAAGTGGAATGAGTAACATCTGGAAAACCTAAGAAAAAAAAATAAGCATCGCGCAAGCTCAATGTTTTTTTTTTTTTGGAATAAAATTTAGTCGCAAGTCAGCGCTGTAGTTTGTCTTCTCTATTCTCGTCCCCGTTTTTGGCGCGCTAATATTCGTTCAGGATGACACCAAATCGCTTGATTGTCCGTTCTGTTGCCCGCAGGACAATGTTACCAAGACTGAACAGGATAACGTCAGCAGGACAACCTTACCAAGTCAGAGCTTTTGAGCACCTTTTTGCCCATGATTTTTTCTAGTTTTCTTTTTTTAATTGAAAACTTCTATCACCTTATGTCAGGTACTTACAACACTTAAACTGCAGAAAAAAAGCCTTACCCCGAGAGGCAACTTTCAAAGAGCAAGCTGTTCAACGATAGACATGCATCTTGACTGTGATGTCTATCAGCTTAGCAAACGTCCCAACTTCGTGATTCATTCCTCTTGCGCATAGAATATAGTAGCTGTAAGTACGCAAATTCACCCTCACCAAGTTCGCTCATGGCCACTTTAGGTGCGGTCTTTACAGTATTAGTCACTTGGCTAGCCTTTCAGTTTCATTCTGCATATATAGTTCACATTCCCTACGCTCATTCAGCCAGGAGGGCATCAGTGGCAGTATTGTACAGGAACCGTTGCTGTTGCATTGCATTCAATACAACTTGCAGTCATGGACACTGTAATATATCCAGCTGATTGTTCTATACATTCCGTCGCTTTAATGTGCAGTACGCTGACGGTAGACTCATGCACGAGAATAGATGCATATCCCCAGTGGATAAATACCTAAATTGCGCCGCGATATTAAATTAGGGCTCGGGTTTAATATGAGGTGTGCCCAACTGGGCGACTGCTAAGTGGATTTCTTCGCCAGGAGTGTGTTCGCCAAGAGTGTGATCAGTAATGGACATCCAATTCCTACACTTCCTCTTATTAATTAGGCTGTTCTAAATGCATACACTAAAGAGAAACAATGACTAGGTTTAAATTGATAAACTGTGCTCTAATAAACTGTACTCTGAGAACTCTAATGTTGTAAGTTTCCCTATTATATTTCATTATTATATAGCGTACAAAATAAGGTTGGAAGCTTAGTTTTTGAATTTCACGCTGATATCTCCTCGCATCACGTCACTTTATTTCAAAATGTATTTTTTGTATTTTCGCGACAAGGGTTCTTTGTAACTTTTCTGAAACTTCGTTTGTTAGGCCTATGGCACCCACAGATGACAATGTACTGTGATGTAAAAAGCCAATCGATCATTTAAAAGAAAGAGAGGTCGGATGTGAGACTGTACCTAATCTGGCAACCTTGTGCTACGTGTTGATCTAGTCGTCACACCGTTTCGTAGTCGTTCCTAGGCGCGCGCATGCTCCATGACTGCATTGATGCAGTAGCTCTGGTTTATTAAAGTCATTTTCGCCTTATCACCGCCTTGTCTACGTTGCCGAGCCCTCACAATTGGTGCAGTCCGTCGACGAACCATGCCGAGAAAACCGGCGCCACTCGTCCATTTCGTGTGAGTTGGTGTTTTTGTGCTAGCTGCCCACCTCATTGCCTTTGCCTGCCCTAAACATTCTTCGATCTTGCCCACCCGTCCATCGACCACAATTCCGCTGATAAACTGGAATGAAGCTACTGTAGAAGCCCTTCAAGTGTTCACAACAAGCTTCATTCGCCATGAACTTTCGTGCCGTAATCTGGAGACGACTGGCTCGAAGAATGAAATGATTGAACGCTTGCTTCATGACGTAGCCCACAACGGTCAACCTGGTGGTTCCGATGAGATAGCTGAGCAGTCATTTTCAAGTACGAAAATGCTGAGTGACTTACTGCAACAGTTTTTGATGTTGCCCAATGGCCGACGGTTCCAGTTCAAGTTACTACGTTGCCTGACCACTCGGCTTCATTGCCAACTATCAACGGTGATGGTAGCATTTCAGCACACCAGTGGTCTCAAGAGCTCGAGCGTACCCAAGTATTCGCGTTATCACCCTCTACTCTCCTCGCCGTAGCGCATGGCAAGCTCCGTGGCCCGGCTGCAGACTGGAATGGCGTGGTAGGAAACTGTTTGGACACGTGGGAAAATTTCAAGACTGCCTTCGAGAGGCAATTTGGGGACAACCTTGCGCTCTTGCAGTGGCAGCACCGTCACCAGATGCGCCCAGTCTCCCTGTGAGAGCTTCGTTTACTACTCCTTGGTGAAACTGCGCGTAATTTCAAGATGTACCGTCCAACTGACGGGTCCTTGGTGCATTGAATATGCCTTACAGGGTGTGAGCGAAGCACAATGGGCAACAACTATCGCTGCACAACAACCAGCAACTGTGAGCGAATGTCTCGGCATCGCCACCCAACTCGACCGAACTATAGAGCAGGCCTCTGTTTTTCCAAGTCAGCCGCCCATTGCAGCCAGATCGTCAAAGTTGCGAGTGCCTCCCTTGCCTGTGCTGCAGGCCGCTTCTAGGTATGGAATAGCTTCTCCACAAGTCAATCTGTCTGCTTCATCAGCACCACATCGAATTTCGTCGTTACCCCTGGATCAACAAGACACTCGTTATCTTGCAATTAGTTCCCGAAATGGCGTATTTGCTTATCGCCCCGGAGGAGATATAAGCAAGGCCATACATTACAACTGTCACCAACCGGGCCATCTTGCATCGAAGTGCCCAGTTCCAGAAGAAGTACCCATCTACCCATCCAGCCAACAAGTTTTCTCTCCCTGGCGTGCCTTCAACCTTCAGAACCACTCGAAGGATATCTTGTAGGGTGCGCTGTGATTCAAGCAGACATTCCACTTATCGGCACTGTAGACGCATTTCCAGACAGTGGTTCAAAGTACACCATACTATCGCTAGACGTCATTTGATCTGCCAACCTGCTACCATGGACCAAACCTCTCATATCTGTTGTAGATGGCGGTACCGTCATGCCAGTTGGTACATTGTGTACTCGTATCGCTGTGGAGCCTATTTCGGCAGTACTTTAGGCTCTAGTTCTGGCTAGAAACCCCTTGCCTTTAATCCTCGGAGAAGACTGGTTTGAGGCCACCCGCGCTGAGCTCCTTGTCCGCCCGCCTCATCCAACAGAAATCCGCTATCCTGGCACGGGTATTGTCATGCGGTGCCTGAAAAGGTACTGCCACGGATGTCCAATGCCGTTGTGCTGTCAAGTAGTCCTGAGCATCCTTTTAAAGAAGCTGTGTCTCCCACAGGCTGCTTGCAGTTATCGCCATTTCTGGATAACAACCAGCCCATATGGTTATCCCTCAAACAGAATGAAGATTTGCCTGGAAAGCAGCCACTTCAACCAAAGGCAGCAACGCTTTGCACTAAAGATGCTACGCTGGACAAGCTAAGTGATGCTCACATATGTCCACAGCTGCATGAAGAAGAAGTTATGGCAGTTCAACACGTCTTGCGTCAGCATGTTGACCTCTTCGCTACTGATGACAATGATTTGGGCCTATACAAAGTAACAGAACACGCCATTGAGCTTGTGCGGGATGCATCGCTATATGCCCGTCAACCATGTAGATGTGGCAAAAAGGAGCTACAATGCCAAGTGTTTCATGCTCAAGGCTTGGTCATTAGGACAGCGCAGATAAAACAAAGACTGTACCATATAGCAAGCCGGCTGCTGCAGGCCAATGAATTGAAAACAAAGAAACAACGGGACGCCAAGACAAGTATCCACTCAGCGCCCTGGGAACTTGTCAGTTCTCTGAATAAACTACGACAGTGTCTCAGCTAAAAGATTGAGACTCTTCGAGGTAAAAGACCTGCAGAACGCAAGCGCAATAACAACAAACAAGCCACCAAGTCAGCTAAGCCAACCCAGAATAAGCAATACAAGCTCAGTCAAGAAAGCCAAGCCGCTGCAAGCAACCCGAAAACAGGAAAGACACCACAGGGTGCAGCTGCCTTCTGCCGTGACAGCTACGTCGCCTGCAGTAAGCTTGAATTGACTGACCCGTCAACTAGTACAGATGCGCAGCCTAACGTCGAAAAAGGGGGGGGGGGGGGGGTTGTCCGTCAACTGAAGATGAAGGCGGAAAAGGTGAAGCACCTTAAGGAATGTGAAATGTGCCATGCGAAAGGGGCTCCGGAGACGTGAAAATGCCACTGGGCTCTGTACAAATAGCAACAAATCAAGGTCAGAGGTGACTATACTTTCAGGAAGGCACCGTTGAAGTTGTGCGAGAAGCGGCAGCAGAAGAGGCGCAAGAAGTGGGATTCAAGCACCGAGAACGTCAAGTAACGTCAGATAGATGGTCACCACAAACGTCGGGACAACATCAAGGCACATCAACAGGCTGAGCTTTAGACCTAGATGAAGAGCCTGAAGAACGAAAACCGCATTGCTCCGGGATTAGCGGTTCATTTAGATGTTTTAGTGAGTGCAAGACTATGAGACAATAAAAAACGGGGTGGGATATGTGATGCGTAAAGTCAATCGAGCCTTTAAATAAAGTGGGGTCAGATGAAACACTGCTCGTAATCTGGCAACCTTGTGCTACATGTTGATCTAGTCGTCACACTGTTCCATAGTCGTTTTTAGGCATGGAGGAAGTTCTTAGGTGCGGGCGTGCTCCATCACTGCATTTATGCCATAGCTCCGGTTAATTAAAGTCGTTTTCGCTTTATCGCCACCTTGTCTACGTTGCCGAGCCCTTAATGTACTTCATTTTTACCTATTAGAGTCTGTGTAGGACGCATTATACGTCAACATCTCGGACGTCATGGTATTTAAAGCGCCAACCACATGATGGCGTCTCTACCCACCTTCTCTGTTCGTGCATTTGCTCGTTTACCAAGTGTTGTCTCGTAGTAAATGTGATTTTTCGGGAATGTGCAATTGAACTTTGCTAATACTCAAAAAATCGCTTTTCTCTTTAATTTACTCGGTGTAAAATAGCTTACGCAAAGCCTTGCACAAGGGATTGATACGCCACACGCTAACCTCGTCAATATACGCACGGAATATATTGAAAACAGCGTGAGCAACCAGGCGACGCTAACGCGGCCAACCCTATTGTAAATACATGCCTGATAGTGAAGAGTGAAACGCTTGCAACCTATAATTCAGCACGTTTCGAAGAGAATTGTTCGGCTTTAAGCTATAGCACAATAATTGCCAAGTAGTGGCGGCGATGTTTAATTTGTAAGATGTTAGCTGGATTCACCTAGCAAATGAAAGAATCTGCGCAGAGCTTACCACGAGTGTTTGAAGCCACTACCGAAGCCGCGAAAAACAGAACAGTTGGGAAAAACATGTCATGTGTCCGACGAGCAAGCGGCTAAGCCTTCAGAACGCCTTGAGATGGTTGCACGTGACGCTTGATCTTCTTCGTTTCGTCACTGTAGCTCACATGAGGAGGTTTATAAAAAAATGGCCCCGTATCTGCATATTATCTGCAAATGTCGTCGAAAGACGATAGTCTTGCGTGTGGAGAGAGTGAACAAAACGTTTATTTGATGTTCTGCGCAAGAAAATCGGTGA